TAGCCGGCGCCATGGTACTAGCTGATTAATTGATCCTAATTAAAGTGAAAGGCTATAAAGTTATTTAATTTGCATTGGTGCAATTAGTTTGTGTGCGTGCAACTTATATAGCTCTATTCGTCAATTATGGAATTTGTTTGTACATCATGATTAATCTTTTTTTTTTCCCTTGCAGGGTTATCTTTGGCAAGTTGGTTTCCTTGCCCGTAACTCTGATGTATTACATCTCCCTCGGCCTCTGATCCTTGAAAAGTCATGGCATGCATTTTTCTTTTTTGGGTGGATGGACTATGAATAAAGCCGAAGGAGCATAAAACATAATAACCCTAGGAGGATACCAGGTAGGAGCTGTGAAAAGTATAGCCAAAAGGGTATAGGTTTGCTCTAGAATTGTCTCCGGCCACAACGACCACCACTAGTGAATTATGAGCCATGATCTCAGGGTTTAAAAGACAGAAATGAAGGAGTTTCCATTATGGGAGGTAACCACCGGCGGAGAAGGTTGACTTGGATGGGTCCTAAACGCTTGCAAAAGCCTAAAAGGGCTTTAAGGTCGTCCAAAAGATGACGCACGCATGCAGAAGCTTAAGGGTTCATAGATTTTCCGTGGCCAGTGCAAAAATTAGTGGTAGCCGAAAGGGGAAAATGTATCATCATGATCCATCATTGTGGAAGTAGACCTGCTTTCTTTTTGGAGGTTTCTCCACTTTGCTTTACGTAATCACGTGCTTTTCACCAAAAAAAACTGAATATGACTAACCAGATCAAACAATAGGCTTCTCTGTACCTGGTGGCTTCTTGTTCTTGTTTTTTTTTTTAATTATTATAGGTGTCTTTTTATTAAAAGTAATCATATTTGAAATATTGTTGAGCAGTAAATATGAACATTTTTTTAAGAGAGATTTGAATTTTAATTTACCACATTTTGAGTGACTAGCCCATTTCATTATGGCAAATCGTTGTTGGTTGCGTGGTGGCTTCTTTCATTATACACAAGGTTAGGTTAGGGTTATTTATTTAGTTATTTTATTTGAAGAGAACCCAAAGTCTAAATTAATGGCAATTATTAATTTTTTCTTCACGTCAAATCCAATCAGATCATTGCATTTCAATTGGTTGTATGTAACTAAGACCAATACATTTTTTTAACCACTAACTAGAGGCTTATATGAAAGGTTACATAATGGGCAGTGAAATTGAATAGAATGGAATCATTTGAACTAGAATTATCACGATCATATTAAGATATTTGCAGGAGAACACTGGAGATCCATGAAGTGATAGAGATACGGAAATGGGGATTGACATACATATATTAAGTTATCCATTCATACTCTCAATTAATGTTTAAGGAATGATGATTGCAATGGAAGAGATTGTTATCATTATTGTGGTCAATCAAGTATGTTTATATTAAAACAAAATCATAAAAAGCATGCATGGTATAGCGATTACTAAGAGAGACTTGAGAATCCTAAGGAGTAGTAAAACAAACACAACCTAAAACTTAACAAGTTTTCAACGAATTAAATTATCAATCGAAGATTCAATTGGTTAAGGTGATGTATTCGTGCAGAGATATGTGTTGATTTTCTCTAACAAAATAGTGAATCTTATAAAAATCAGATCATCATGCAAGCATGTTTCATAAAAGTTTATCCATAAAGTTTTTTGGGAGTTTTATTCTATTCTTGTTATGTTATGTAACTAGGCGACTTTCATGCATTACATGGAGTATAATAAATAAGCCAAGTTATTCAATTTGAAAATACTGCGATTAACGGATTTATCAGGAGGGGCATAGAAATGCTTTCCAAGATATGGATCACGTTATTTGTACCTTCTATGGATGAAAAATTTAGATCGAGTGTATTGTATTTTTATCTTTCAAGGGCATTTATTCTTTGTCTTTGCCAGTATCATAATACCTTTTATATTATCTCAACATTTAGCGTAGTTTCTAACGATAAAACCATATGATGGTCAGGAAAAGAAGGAAAAAATAAAACCAGATATATATATATATATATTTGTAATAATAAAACCAAATAACTTACTGCGCGCATTGTATGGAGTATAAGATATGAAGACATGGATCACTGAGTTTATATACACGGGTTTTACTTTTTATAGGTGGGCTTATAATCCTTCTTTGGGGACCTTCCCGGTTGGGTCCGTAATCCCATTATGGGACATTGGGCCAGCTGGCCCTTCATCAATTTGCCCGACTTCTTCTTAATCGGACCCAATGTATATCATTAACAAAATCAACACGTGCTCAAGTTCTGGGCATTGATTACTCATTAAAGCTTGCTTTAGCTGCTAAGAATTAATGATGGAAACAATGTTATCCAGAATGAACATCTCTTATCCGCGTGGCCAGCATTAGATCTGAGGAGAAGGCAGCGATGAGCCATCATTGAACTGTCATGCCACCTCTTTCTCTTTTATTCCTTGTAAATTTCTCAATAGCCAAAGCAAAGGCAGAATTGATATTTTGATTTGAATTGTAATTTTATTATTTTTCTAAAACAAAGTAGTCTAACCATCATTGCAGACTGATCTGACGAACTTATTGAAAATAAATAATAAAAAAAAAGGAAATCTTATATAAAACATATTTTTTTCATTGAAATATATAATATATTTTTAGTATTTGAAGATATAATTAATGTATTTTTTAAAAAATAATTTCAATAAATGAATTATTTTATATTTAATTTTAAGTGAAATGTTATACTCTCTCTATTAAAAAATGTAAAGCATTTTTTAGAAGTTAAATATTAAAAAATGTAAGGTATTTTTAGTCTTTTAAAGTGTAATCATTGCCTTTTTTTCAAAAATGCCCCTATTGATAATAATTTTATATTTATTGTAAAGTATTTAATAGGGTTGAATATAAAAAGATAGGGTTAGTTTGAAACAAATAACTACTTTATTAGAGATAAGATTTGATTAAAAATGTTTTACATTTTTAAACGAATAGAGTATTAAATGAAGATAGTTAATTAATTCACCAGGAAGGTTTGATTCAATTAAAAATATTTTATGCTTTTAAATAGAGAAGAATATTCTTTTTTTTAGAAAATAAATAATTTTGAATTGAGGCTGCAAAGGTGAAGTTTTGTCACGTTTCAAAAAGAAATGTCTAATGCTTATAAAAACCTCTGTAAGTTTTGTAATTGAAAACAAATATTTTTAATATAAGTCTTCTGATTAAGAATACTAGTTATATTGTATTTTTTAAAAAAAGAATTTAAATTAAAGATAAAAAGAGAGAAATATTTATCAGTTGATAAGTGATATTATTTGGTTAATAAGTAATATTTTATAGTTTATAATTTAAGATAATAATTTTACAACTAATGAATTTGTTACTGGTTTGATGTTGAACAAGATATCAAATGTTATTTAATAAGTGATGATTAGCAATTAACTAATGCTGTTAAAAAATTAACAAGTAAAATTATGAATTAATAAATAATTTCGTTTCTTTTTTGATCAATGAATTAAACAAGTTTTATAATTGTTTTAACAAATCAAGTTAAGAAATTATCAATCGTTATTATAAAATTAATAAATAAAGTTGAAAAGTTAACAAATAATATAGTTAAGTTTAGAAATTTATAAATTAATAAATAAAGTTAAGTAGTCAATAAAAAAAATTATGCGATTAATAAATATTTCGATTAGGTGTCTTTTTTTAAAGGATACTTCAATCTTTTAAACTAACAATTTTATGTTAGTTTAGTTAAAAAAACTTGTAAAAAAATTTTAAAATTTTTTGAGACTTGTTAATAAATACTTTTTTTTATAATTTTTAGTTGAAATTCTCACGAAACAGTTATTATTATCATCCCTTGTTTTCTCTATGGGCATCCACAATATTGAATATTCAATGACAACCAAATTCGACAATTTTGGAAGGGATTCAAAACCTAGGGCACTAAAAGTAAAAGACATCAAGTTCGAATGGAATGCCGACGGAGTTGTCATATTGACACGGGGCCCCTCATTTACGTCCTTTTCACAGGCAAATTTGAGAAATATTGTCAGACATTTAGGATTTGATTTACTTGCCCTATTATTAATTTTTAACTATAATCCATATAATTCTAAGAAAGTACCTTTTTAATTTGTATTTAACATGTAGAGAACTTGTGATGTTTTTGCAAAAATATTCCTATTATTTAATGATTGAAATTCAACGCCAGATATGAAAATGCTCCAGCTTGGAAAAAAAGAAAAATTTAACATGGGCGACAAGAAAAAATGAGACATCATGTTCAGGACCAAAACAAAACTCTAAAACGAACCTTATATATTTGTCCTTTTCACTAAAATATTTTTGTCGTCTTTCTTAATAGACCGTTTTTATTGAAAGGTCCCAACAAAGGTGATCAGGGGAGTCAACCATGACATTAGATCAGAGGTGTTCTTTTTCTTATTAGATCGGACCCTTGTGAAGAGTTGCAACTTTGGTTGGATATATATTTACAAGAAAATACAATTATCATATTTTATTTTTAATTTTTGTAAATTTTTTAATATTTAATCTTTATAATTTTAAGGAGATTGGATGATACTTGTTAATTTTTATAATTTCAGTACTGAAAATATTTAAAAACACTATAAACTAAGAATAAAATTCAATAAAATTATAGAAAATAATAATTATATTTTATTTATATTTAGTTGAAAAATAATTAAAATAAAGCCTACGGAGTTTAATGAGTGGGATTCTCTCCGATTTTTTTTTTTTTTAAAAAGCAAAGTAAAAAAGAAAGGAGAAAGAAAAGGGAGGGTGATTGTACAGAGAACTTGGTCGTTGTGAGAGAGTATTGCGTGGCGCTCGGTGGTGAATCCACGGCGCCCCCGGATTTCAACCCAACCACAGTACTCGCTATTCTTGGAATTCCTTCCCTCCCCCATCCCACGATACCACGAACCCATTTGCCATTCCCAACTCTAGCATTCCCTGTCGTCCTTGGTCTTTTTTTTTTTTTTTTTTAAGGCTCTCTTCTTCTCTCCTATAAATACCTTCCTCCACTCCCCTTTCCCTCCCCAACCTTTCATTTCTCTCCTCTGTCCATCGTTTTCTATTTTCCTTCGTCCTTTGTAGCCATGTCGAGCACTGCCGGTCAGGTCATCAAGTGCAAAGGTACGTTCGCCCATCCCTATCATCCTCTTTTCCCTCCTATCTTCTTCATCTTTCTTTTTATTCTCACTTCTACTCTCCTGATCAACTCATTCATGTTCTCCCCACGCTGTCCGTTGCTGGACCCTCCCCTCTCTCTATCGTTGTTCCTCATTTATTTCGGGGGTTGAATTCTTTTGTCTAATATTTATTCATTGCCTGCAACTAAGATCGCTCTAGTCACTTCCGTTTGGATTATTCCATCGGATTGCGTGTCGCGGGGCTCAGTTTTGTTTATACATCTTCCGAATGTGGAATGTTCGGCAGCCTTCATTGGTGCTGCCTTTTCCTTCGATAGTTATTTGAAATGATTTTATTTTATTTTATTTTGCCCTGGGTCCTTTTGTATCGGTGAAGTTTTGGCTGTCGGTTGCTAGTCAAACAAATTATCTGCATGCGTGCCCGGGGGAACGGATTGTTTCATTCCTGGATTCTGGATTTTGGGGAGTTGTTGCGTCGCTAATTGCATTAATATTCTAAAAATGTAGCTGCGGTGGCGTGGGAGGCTGGCAAGCCGCTTGTGATTGAAGAAGTAGAGGTGGCACCGCCGCAGGCCGGTGAAGTGCGTTTGAAGATCCTTTTTACCTCTCTTTGCCACACTGATGTTTACTTCTGGGAGGCCAAGGTACTCTATTTATTTCCCTTCCTTCCCTGGTTTTTATGATATAATTTTTTATATTATAATTACTTTCATAGCATTACTAAAATCTTACGATTGCGGTGATTTGGGGGTATATTGGCCCAAAACTTCAGCTCTGTCGCCGCTGTCATTTAAAAATAGGGAAGTTTTAATGACTTATCATGAGTCATTCTCAATGTGTATTTCTTTTACTCATCCTCATGAGGTATAAATCTAAATTCATCCCGTTTTTTGTCAGAAAAATTGCTATTCTGAACGATGAAATTAAGTTATTCATTATAAGCACCTTTTATTTCAAAGATATTTACTTATTTTAAGGATCACAAGGCATAAAATCTTTAAATTCTTAATCTTTAAGTGCGTTTGGAGCTAATGATTCTGTGAACATATGGGACTTTCTTTTCAACCCCTGTCGTTTGATTCTGTAGCCCAGAATCATCCTCGTTCACTCATTTTCTTTACCTTACCTGAAGTTGCTTTTGTTTTGTTTTGTTTTTTTTTTCTCTCCCTCATTTCAGGGCCAGACTCCATTGTTTCCTCGTATATTTGGTCATGAAGCTGGAGGGTATGCTTCTTTTGTGAATATTGTCCGAAGATCAAAACTTTCTTATGTTTTCTTCTGGGAATGAAAGAAAAGTTAAATCATTTGGTTGACGCCTTCCATCATAGATTGCTTGTAATTAAATTATGGTAATGTTATACAGAATTGTGGAGAGCGTTGGCGAGGGTGTGACTCATCTGAAGCCAGGAGACCATGCCCTCCCTGTATTCACAGGAGAATGTGGGGAATGTCCGCATTGTAAATCAGAAGAGAGCAACATGTGCGATCTTCTTAGGATTAACACCGACAGGGGCGTTATGCTCAGCGATGGCAAGACCAGGTTCTCTAAAAATGGACAGCCCATATACCACTTTGTTGGAACCTCCACATTCAGTGAATACACCGTTGCTCATGCTGGATGTGTTGCAAAGATCAACCCTGCTGCTCCACTTGACAAAGTTTGTATTCTCAGTTGCGGAATATGCACAGGTTTGAAAGATATTATGATGTTGGAAAAAACTAGCACGCTAGCTGGGTGGTTCTGTTTCTCTAGCATCGTTTTTTGTTCTTGACTGTAGGTCTTGGTGCTACTGTTAATGTTGCAAAACCAAAGCCTGGTTCTACTGTTGCAGTCTTTGGACTAGGGGCTGTTGGCCTTGCTGTATGTTGTTTTCCCACTTATTTTTTTTTTATTGCAATTCTTCAGCAAATAATCGAGGGTCTAATTCCTGCCCTTCTTTGTATTTTGAATTTTAGGCTTGCGAAGGAGCAAGGATTTCTGGTGCATCGAAAATTATTGGGGTGGATTTAGTTAACAGCCGATTTGAAGAAGGTAGAAATTTTTCATTTTTAGATGTATACAAATTCGTAATTGCCATTCACTTGTTGATGGAAGCCTCCGTTTCTCTTGTCGGCAGCCAAAAAATTTGGGGTCACTCACTTCGTGAACCCAAAAGAACATGACAAACCTGTTCAAGAGGTTAGTTTATAGAAAATTTGATTTGAAGTTTGCTGTCTTTCACATTTCTTGTCATGTTTAATTCAAGGACTGAGACGGTAAATCTAATGGCGAAAGGTAATTGCTGAAATGACCAATGGAGGAGTGGACCGTGCTGTTGAATGTACTGGAAGCATACAAGCCATGATTTCAGCATTCGAATGTGTTCACGATGTACACACTCAGTCTCTGAGAGTTGCCATTACATTACATTCAGCCTTTTATTAATCTCTGCATTACTAAATTCTTCTTGTCAGGGCTGGGGTGTGGCTGTACTTGTGGGTGTTCCGAACAAAGATGACGCATTCAAGACTCATCCTATGAATCTGTTGAACGAGAGGACTCTGAAGGGCACTTTCTACGGTAACTATAAGCCCCGCACCGATCTTCCTAATGTGGTGGAGAAGTACATGAAAGGGGTGGGTTTAAACATAAACTGTGCGATCCTCTTCCTCAGAGATGGGACAAGATTAGTTTTTGGCTAATGTGATTTGATATTAAATTGTGAGTGCAGGAGCTGGAACTGGAGAAGTTCATAACGCACACGGTCACATTCTCAGAGATTAACAAGGCATTTGATTATATGCTGAAAGGGCAGTCAATCAGGTGCATCATCCGGATGCAAGAGTGAAGCTGCTGGGAGAAGCCGTTTTCTGTCCGTTAGGGAGAATGAGAATAAAATTTAAACATGTAATCCAATCCTCTTATGGGGATCATGGGATTTTTATGTGCAGTGTGAGCGGGAGAGTTTATAGCGATTTTGTTTCTTGGATTGAACTTTTGGTGACTCGCACCCAGAGTCCACCCGTACTTCGCGTGTTTCTGCTATTCAAACTTGAAATGCTACTTTCGGCTTGTTCAATTCATATGGTGACTCGTACCCAGACTCGTTCCCCTTGCAGCTACTTTCGGTGCTCGTCACTCTCATGAGAATCATGATGCATATCAAGGTGATGAGGTGTGGATCATCATAAGTTTAAAGGATTATTTTTTAAATTTTATTTTATTTTTATTAAATTAAAGTTATAAAAATTTTAAGAAATTTATTTTATCACTAATCGGGATAATATATATTTAATCTGAATAATTTAAATTTAAAGATTATTTTTGTTTGTAATATTATATTTACACAAAAATTATGAAAATTTTTAAAATTCTAAAACTTTTAAATATTTAATTGTAATTGTAATATACAAATTAAATTTATATTGTTTATGTTAATATGAAGTATATTTATTAAAAAATTTATAATTTTAAGTAAAACTTTTAAATTTAGACCATATAAATTAAAATTTATATGATCCATATCTCACCATCTCGATGAACTCCCATGCTTCATAGTAAGCATCGAGGTGATGAGAATGGTCCATATCTTGTCACCTCTCCTTAAAAAAAAAAAAAAAAGGTTTGGGTTCAAATACAACGTCAATATATTTGTGTATATGGGTGAGTTTGTATTTCTCTTTTCCGCTATGAGAAAGGGGATTACAATGGGAATCGTGTACTTAACCTAACTATTTTTGATAATTGACTATTGACTATTGAGTATTGATCGATATGAAGCATGAGCATCTCCCTCGTGGCCTCGTAATCATCGTCCATCGGTGCTAGATGGTCACACGACCACCGTTGGATCAAGAACGCTCAATGGCTTGTCATCTGCAGCAACCACTACCTTGCTTTAGTTGGCGGTGTTGCCTTGTCATTCTAGTGTTCAGAGTGCATGTTTCAAGACATCAAATAATCAATTTTAAAGATTAAAATTAAGATTTTATAATAATATATCTAAACCTTTATTATGTGTTAAAATTAATTATCAATTTCTAATCATGATTTTTGTAAAAAATATCCAAACACCCTTGCATACTTAAAATTAATTATAAACCCACAACTCTAATTTCATAAAAATATCTAAACACCTCTCACACACACACACATATACACACATGTCAAAATTAATTATAACCCAAAGTCATGATTTATTAAAAAAATTACTCCTATATGATTTTTAATAGATTTTTATAAAAGTATAATTGAAAAGTAGGTAATAATGAACCCATTTATTTTAGCTTATTTTATAAAAATCATATTTCTTGAAAAAATATATTTTATGAGTTATGATATTTATTTAAAATTTTTAAAATAATAAAAATTTAAATATATTTTTTATTATTGTAAGAAGTTATTTTAAGCAGCTTTTAAAAATAATAGGATGTGGTGGATGAGAGAAAATATTTTAAAAAGCAGAAATGCCCATAAATATAATAAATTTTAAAATAATTAATTAACAAATCATTTTTATAGAACAAAATCAAAGAAGATGTAAAAAAATTTAAAAATAACTAACTAATAACCAAATCACTTGTAACTAAACATAAAATAATATCTTTTTTTATAAAATTTTTACTCCCTCCAATCCTATTTATAAGTTATATTTAAAAATATTCATTTAGTTCCATTTATATATCATGATACAACTTTTTAGATAATAGTTAAAAGGTATTTTTTAAAATTATTTTTCATAACATGACATTATATGTTAGATTTATTATATAGGACATATTAAAAATTTTATACACTTTTATTTTTTGTACTTTTTATATTGATATCGATAAAATTGACAAAAATGACTTATAAAGAAAATCAAAAGAGTACAAAATAAATATTTTTATAAAATCTTTAAATTATTTAAAAATTATTTTTTTATTCTTAAACAAAGAGGCCAATGATATTTTGAAATATATCTCATCAAATTTATTTCTTTAATTTTGTTCTTCTAAATTCCTTGAAAGGCAGCAAGCCAAAGCAATAAAAGCTTGTGTGAGATGAATGGTGCTCATTTGAATTTCAGTTTATATCTGTTTGAGGATACAACTATTTGTTTGAATCAACTTGTAAGGATTTTCCAAATAGACCAGAAACAGGGAGTCAAGGGAAGGCACCAAACGTCTCAACTGATTCAAGCCTTGCTCTTGCCTTACTATTAATAAAAAAGTCTCAACTAAAAAGCACGCACTCTAAGTGTTCCCAAAAAAAAAAAAAAAAAAGGTCTCAACTAAAGGCAGCGTCTCTCTCTCCGCTGCACGCAAATTACAGTTTTCTTGGTAGCAATGACCAAGGAGAAGTGGTGGTCACATGGTCAAGGCCACCTCCTTGTTGAAGATCCAGCTGAATTTGACACTATGAGGCCCCATCTTGCGTGCCCTCTCATCTGCTCGCTCTTGCAACTTCCTAATCCTCGGTGCTAGTCCACACACGAAATCCCGCGCACGCCTCCCTTCGCCCGTCAGCCCCTCCAGCTTCTCCAACTTCCATCGTCCGACCAAAAACTCCAATATGTCCGCGTAATCGTTCGCCGTATACACTCCCGTCCGCTGCGCCACCGCAGAGAAGTGTTCGAACAGACGGGGATCCTTCCCGTCGTACATCAAATGCGCGGGCATTGTTATTTTCTTGTGCATCATATCTGCGATGGCCAGCATTGCTCCCGTGGGGTCCACTTCCAGCAGCTTCTCGACAATTCTCGCGTACGCATTCTCGTGGCGTTTCTCGTCTGCTGCGATGGTGCCACATATGCGCGCTAGCACCGGATCTCCCCCCTCCTTCGCTAAGCGAGCCGTGTTGCCGTGTGACACGAAGGTGGCTCGCTCTTGAAACGACGTGTAGACGAATCCCAAATATGGGTTGTTCTCTGTCCCAGGATCCTGCCATTTGTGAAATTTAGCTATTCCTCTCTGTTATTTCTTTTTTTTGTTACATAAAAAATTAAAGAAATCACACCTTGTATCCAAAAACGAAATCACGCCAATGCGAGCAATAACGCTCATATCATAACGTTAAACATGTCTACAATTAATATGAATGTATCAAGAGAAAATAATTTAAATTATATTCTAGTGTTTGTAAATAGTAAGATAGATTAATGCTGACTTGTCCTGTCATTTCGAGATTTCCTATATTTTTTTCGATCACTTCAATTTCCAGTAAAATCCTTATAATCAATCAACGTTTAATAGGAACATAGAGCGCGAACGAGAAGGAATCGAAGTTCTCACCATTCCAGCTCCAATCAAATACTGCACGGTCTTCTCGACCATAAGCATATCAACCCGACCGGATAAGTAGAGATAGGTTCTAAGCAAATCCCCGTGCCTATTCTCCTCGGCGGTCCAAGAGCGGGTCCAAACGGCCCACGGATCTGGGCTTGCTCCGGTCTCGTCCCCGACCGCATCCAGGTTGTTTATCATGCTCTGATACGTAGGCAATGCGTCCTCCGTGATCATATCACCCACCAGTACCACGAAGTACTCATCCGGGAGCTCGGCCGTCCGTTCGCGCAGTGCCTTCACTTGATCCATGAATTCATCGGACGGCAGCGACGAGTCGGGCACGAAGTTCTGCGGTTGCCAGCATTGCTCCACCGGCTTCAGCAGCGGCAGCAGCCCCTCCGAAGCCCAGCGTTCCAGGGACTTGAAAACCTCGGCCTTCTCCGGCGGCATTGAGTGAGCCTTTCTATTTTTGACTGGAGCAGCCACGGCGGAGATCGGTGGCGGTGATCGCAGCCTGACAGTGCGGGTGGGTAATCGGGGGCGGCCGGTTGTCGGATGTCGGCCAGTAGGGGCCCATGCTTGGGTGGCAAGGTAGCGGCAACTCTGCATGGTTGAAACTCGATTCGGCGTCCCTGGCGTGGACTGCTGAGCTTGCTACTCGTGAAATGTCACTGTGAGTGGAGGAATGTCTTTATATGAGATGGAAATCAAATGGGGCCTTGGTTTGAGAAATAATTTCATGAATGCCATTCCTTAGATTTTGTAGTTAGTTGGCTTAAGCTCTGAAGAACGCGAACGTCTGATAATTAATCCATGTAATTGGCCTATTTCTTTTGGCGTGAACGATATTTTGATCGTAGGGTAGTTTTGTAATTACGAATGCGAAAAAATCATAGGGGTGGGGGTGGGTTGGGGAAGACCGGAGAGTTAGGGTCGAATTGGTGGATTTTGACAAAACAGGGGGTGCTGTGGTTTTGGGTGGAATTGGTCAATCGGAGGACAGAATTGGGAATCCTGTGGATTTTAAACTGGTTCTGTGAGCGCCTTTAATTATTAAATGTTCTATTTGCAAATTTTCTTACTTTTTGTAGCTGTTCTTTTTTTTTTTTGGCTACATAAAGCTTCTCGTGAAACCGTGATTTAGTACAGCTCGACTCCCTTCCAAAATCCAAGTCAAGTAGTATATGTTAAATGATTCTTGAATAAATACAATGTATTGCAAACCTAGGAATCATCGAAGATCCACCACGATTTCGTCATTTTTCCTCTCTTACATCTTAAAATTTCGCCTTCCCTCTCACAAAATTCATTTCTTTTTCCTCCCTGACTTGAATTTTGGAAAGGAAGAGGCTAACGCAATATAAGGCAACATTTAATAATGGGAAAAATATTACCGTTCTTGTCAGTTTAATAATAAAAAAATATAACAAAGTTATATGTCGGAAAACAAAACTATATATCTATAATATGGAGCAAAACCAAAGCCCTTTTTAAACCTGGTAAATCAGCCATACCGCGCTAAAGCAAACATAACGGGGCCTAATATCCGGACAATCAATCTCGCGTTAGTATCGTAGATCCAGAAACATGACAAGAACGATATTACTTGTAAGTTTGGTTATAAACGTGGAAGCCTTCCGAAGACGGAACAGAAATTAAATACTCCACCCTTCAAAAATTTTAAAGTACAATCATTCTGTTTTTTTTTTTTAAATTGCGCTTGATAAATAAATCATCTTATATTTATTTTAAAGTAAAATATTTCACTAAATAAGAATAAATATAAAAAGATGATGTTAGTTTGATGAGAAATAATTACTTTATTAAAAAGTGAGATTCAATAAAAAATATTTTAACAAAATGAGTATATAAATTAAGGAAACAATAAATGTGTTATCTGACCAATTTTTAATTCAGTTGAATCGGGGAAAAAAAAAATCTCACGCTTTAAATATATTGCAATGAGCATGATTCCTAGAGAAATTTATAAAGGATGTAGATTAAGAAAAACTAATGTTTACGTTTTCGGCAATAAAGAATAGAAAAGATGGAATACTTGTATTTTGGGTGAAGGCTAGTCATGGATGGGTAGGCGAGTGGTGTTGGGAAGTCGGCGGCCACGGAGGAAGGAAGAGAAGAGATGGAGAGATCTGGAAGGCTGGGCATATGGCACCATGTGAGCTGCCCCTCTCACCGTCGCAAACGTCAACAAGTTTCCATACTCTATTGCCCAACCCCCTACCTGCGTACCCGCCCACCAACTCTCATCAGTACAAAGCAACAACAAACAAACCCTGCACCTTACTCCACACACCCTTTTCCCCTTACCTGCCCTTTGTGGAACCATGCTCCATACGGCACCGTTATGTCCATCTTCAGCTCATGCGCTAGCTCCCGCACCAGTGTTCGAGACCCCATTAATGGCACCACAGAATCTTGGTCTCCGCTGTCCTCAATTCATATCCCTATTACTTACCATCCATCCATAGATACATATATATATATATATATAAATACCAGATAATAAGCCACTCCTGCATGCTTTTTTACCTGAAAACCCACACTGGGATTTTATTTTGAACCATCCTCTTGAGAATAGGAAGGATGTCGATGTTCCCATCACTCTCGCTATAATTTAAGATGCTGTCCATTGAGACACGCTGAAGTATCAATACACACTTTTTCTGCCGGTCACTTGAAAGAAAGTGGGTATTGCGCAATACTTACCCGCTACACATGGACCATGAATATGGTAGATTGGTGCGATTTGCGTGAAGAGCCTTCTGAACCTCAGGAAGATTGAAGTAAAAACGTCTTTCAAGGGTCATGCAAACATCTACACCCAGACTCATTTTGGTAGCCTGCATAAAAGAGTGGGCCGCGTGAAAATCCCTTCAAAACTTCATACAATGGCAAACAGGACGAGAGCTACCATCTTTTTCAATCTCAGTTCTTGCTCCACTATGGATGGATAGCAAACGTCCAGGATCACGTCATAATTGTTTATATATTCCCCAACTATGCGATTTGCCTCGGATATGGCACGGTTGCATGAAAGGGACACGTTGTGAGGACTTGCAAAGACATAATCATCAAAATCGCACTCATTCATGATGGCCAGGCCTATTTCGTCAGAAATCATTCCATGCGACCAGAAGAATTCATATGTCGATGGAATGTCCCGGTCAAGTCTCAGCAGTGGGTTTCCAATCTAAGCAAGGAAAGCCAGGGGGAAACATTCAGAAGACGAATTTTCAGAGTTCAACGAGACAATAAGGACCATCTCAAATGACATCAATATAAATTAGCAGGGGAAGAGGAACATTGGAACTTACAGCTACTCCTTTGATATTGAATTTGAAGTCACTGGAGGCTTCATTATGGTTCAGCAGAGCATCAGCCAACTGTGGTATGTAATGTCCTGAATAACAAACAAAATTACTGAAGCAAGGGAAAAAAAAACTTTATTATGGGGACAGGGCGATCCGAGAGACCAACAAAACAAAATTTACAGCATGAATAAACGCATATCCTAATCTTTAAGCTCGATCCAACTAGGCCAGCTAATATCCAGAATATTTCGAAACACGTGATTTGAACTTGAAATTCCAAATGTTTGAATGATGATAGAAAAGAATTGGGATTTAATAAGGAATTGCTGTTGGACCTGCATAACTTTCTCCTGTAAGGAATAGCTCCCTTGTTCTGAATGCTGGAAATTTCTCATACCATTTCAACATGAATAGATACATATCATTGGCTGCAGGAGAATCAAAACATCAAGTAAATTCCCGGGCAAAACTAGTCAGCAACATATTCTAATAAGGCCAATCTTTTGAGTCTCTAAATCCTGAATAAGTATATTTAAAATCAACGTCTCAGATGCAAATAAAGTAGAGTTCGGTGTGTAAAAAGAGAAGGATAGACAGGATACTAGAAGAGACGAAATAAGCATCATGTTTACCGGCGGAAGCATCCCCGCAGTTATAATCTGAAGTTGTATTTGAGTATGACCATCCAACTCCGGCGGGGGACTCCACAAACAAGAGGTTAGATGCTGTGAATGACAACATGTCAGGGGCGGAAATCAAAAGGCAAATTCATGTGAAAGGCGGTTTTGCCAAGTGGCGTACCTCTGTTCCAAGACATCCTATTTCTTCGGAGACTACGGCCATCACCATGAGGATAGAAGGGGCCCAATTCAGTGAAGGCACCTCCACCGACGGAGGAGCATCCAGGGCCTAAAACAAGGAAATCAGCTCAAGTCGTGGAAAGCAGGGAAGTGAGCCATATCACTGAATTTTCAACAACATAATTTCCCAAAAAGTAAGAATCTCTACGGATTGATTTGATGTAGCGGTTATGATATTTCGAAAAGGTGTTCTTTTTCCCGTAGAAGCTTCACCCAGCAATGAGTAATGCAGTACACGAGTTAAATAATAGACCGCAAACAAAGGTCATTTCAAATCCTCGATCCACAGGATCTGTAAAAAACCCGATAACAGTCCCAGCGGTTCGAGCAAACAGGACTATCTATCAAGTAAGACAATTCAAAACCCGAATTGGTAGGGATGAGAGGACAAAAAAAAAATGCATCACTTCATTTGAGAGAGAAATGAACATTGAAAAAGCAATCGTACGCCTAAAAAGAACAAAAAAGTTGAAAAAGGCAACTCTAAACAAGACGTTGAGATTGAGTTAGCGAGGAAGAAGGCTACGAACCTCCATTGAGCCAGAGAGCAAGAGGCTTCTGGTCGGGGTCCTTATCGGCCTCGATGAAGTAGTAGAACAAACTCCTTCCATGGCTGACATCGACATCAACATACCCAGCATACTGCCTAAACTCGACCTTGGGTTGACCAGGCAGAGTCACCACCAGATCTTCTGAGGGGTATCCTTGGACCGAGGACCAAGCATTGGCCAAAACAATCCAAATCCCAACAAACCACCACCTGCCCATCCCTAGAATTCCAACACCTTCGCACAGAACCCACCCCTTATCCAAATGCCCTCGCAAGTCGCTATACGCCGCTCCTGCTTACAAAATAGGCAAGCTTTTATTTAAAATAAATACCATTGAATGAGACTGTGATATTTTATCTTTTACAAACAGATTTTGTAACGCAGGGCACGTGAATCCTGGGTTCCTTTAACAAAAAGGTACATTCCTACCTCAAGATCTCAAGTACATATAGAAAATGCTTAAAAAATCGCATGTAGAAATTTCCCAAGGAGAGAGACGCTAGAAACTAGAAGGTCGCCCAGGAGAGCAGGATTCAGCCAAGTGATTTGGCCCTTGCTCGGGGCAGTATCGCCTGGAGGAGCGGGCAGCTTCGGCAAAATTGGCCGATTTTCTTATTCTATTAAAAACGATACAAGACTTACTCAGGGATGGCGAACCCACATCAGGTTACAAAGGGGATAAGATAATTATTTTAAAGCCCGAAGAAGTCAAAACGGGGTTTGATGGCAAGGAGCAAGTGCTTGGATTGGAATCGGGGAGTCAGTCCACCAAGCCGCGTCAAGATTCCGTATTGTCAGCAGCCAATGCCGTGCAATCAGTGTCAGTGATGGCTGCAGAGAGAACGCAAAATTGAGTTCCCTATTTTACCCCTAAAAGGCATGAGCAAGATTGAGATAGGTAGACGGGTATCGTTTTAAATCCTCTCTGTCCTTTTGTTGTTCTCACCTTTCCTCCACCGTTGGATTAAAAATTTAGCATTGTGAACTGTTAAGGTTAAATTTTAATAATTTAGATTCATTTATTTAAAATTTATGATGATCAATAAAAAAACAATGATTGGATTTTTAACAGTACGAATTACAAAGGGTATGAATGGGATGGGGAGAGGAAAACAGAAGATATGATAGGGATCGGAGGCGATCAAATGATGGGGAATGTTGGTTTTGAAAGACGAGCAAAAGGAGGGATGGACCGTTAGGGAGCTTGGGCTTTCAGTTTCCAACACGGTGGAGCCCACGGACTGCAAATGCTTGGGTTCGGAGAAGAAACAAAAATAGAGGGCCAGGAAAGCATCGGAGCACTTGAGATTGAGAATCTTGAAATCACGCGCGCGGCTCCATTGGATGAAACCAAGTTGCCCATTATTTCATCACGCCGCCGATGGTCATGATGAAGTGGGCCAATGATTCGACTTTTACTTGAAGCAAACAAATTGTGAATGTTGTTTCCATGGGCGACTGCAAATTTGATATTCCATTTCCATCCCCGTATATGCTCATTTGCGTGCGTCAACAAAGGATCAACAAAGTGTTTAGAATCACGTGAGGCTGGGATTCAAATCTGTTTTTGGCACCACCTCTACTAAACCGTCATTTTTCCCTTCTGCTGATGTCATGTAATTTCAAATGTGTACTAATGTGTAAAACAAAAAACAAAAAAATTGAAACTGGATGAATTGAGAGACAAGTAAGAGTCAGACAAGTAATTTCCCGGTTTTGCCGGGGGGGAAAATATTATGTCTGGGGAAGAGAAGCATTCTCATTTCAGTTCTCTTACTGGTTCATATTTTTGCATCGCAAAGACATTCAAAGTTGAATAAATATTCAAAAGAGAAGAGGGAAAGCCACCAAGTTTCGTTACTCTCATGTCAACCCATGGCGTAAATTTTAAGAGGATCAAGTTATGCAAACGGACGGCAAGCAAGTACACTCATCAAGTTCAAAAGAAAACATAAATTAGGTTTCGTTGATTTACTTTAACCCTTGAAAATGCGACAATAATTGGAAGCGTGACAGCCTTTCTTATCATTGAAAAATTTAAGATTCACGTCAAAAAATCCAAAAATACTTTAAAGAACAAATCTTGATTCTTTACAAAATAATTGAAAGTAATATACTACATTCACCCTTAAAGTAATTTAAAATCTTTTAGTTGGATAGTGAAAATAGCTTCAAAAGAAAGGAAAAGATAAATTGGGATTCAAGTGAAAACATGTACATTAAATTCAAATTTCATGGCTGGCCGGGAAAATAATTCAAATTTCATGCGAGAAAGCATGACTAGTCTCAATCTCGAGTGATACAGCGAAAATAAACCCGCCATGCTTCAAGATCATAATATAACTGCATTTCTAACTTCAAAGCATTTTTATTCGGGCAACACTTTCCAGTGTGTTTGGATTTCAATTACAAAAAAAAAATTGATTAATACAATATGATAATATTTGAATAATATTTTTTAAATTGATTTTGATAAGATTGAAGAAATTTGGATGATTTTTGAAAACCAATTTGAATGCTCAAATTACAATAAAGGCATTCTTTTTTATGATATAAGTATGAAAAAATATCAACCACGGACCGCTGTAGCATAATTACATCAGCTGTGACTTCCCAAGTTCTTACCCTTTGATTCAATTAAGTTAATAGTATTTTAAAAGAGTTTAAGAGTATTTAAAGACATTAAAAAATGATTTACAATCAATTAAAGTTTGAAAGATGATAAGAAATGAGCTGCATTTTTAATCAAAGATTTTCAAACAAAAAATAATAATAATTTTGTGTAATTCTTTTTGCATTAAAAAGTAAACATCTCTAACTTTTTATAGGGTCATAATTTATAATTTTTGAAGATGTGTAAAGTTAATTATAAATTTTTGAAATTGGATGTGTAGAACTATACCATTGTCCTAATTCATAATTGCACGTTTTCAAATTTAAATTTTCTATCACAAATTAGAACAATAGAATCGACTTTTTGAGAGGTTTGAGGTAATTTTTGAAGAGCCTAGCTAGGGTTCTAGAGTTTCCAACACTAGAACACGAATTCTAACTCGTAATCACTCAAGATAACACTTATAATCTTTCTCTTACCCTCTAATCTTATCTTTAAGTTAGTTTATGTTTGAATTAAGCTTAGGTTTTCATTTTTGTGGGTACCCAGTCACTGGGTTTGAATTCTAAAGCAATTTTGAGGTTAAATAAGTTTAGTTTTGATTGTTTTGATGATGATTATGATAATGGGATGATTAAATCAAAAAACCTAAATTTGAAGGTAGATTTTTATAATGATTTGAGAAGGTAGATACTAGATAAGTGATATATAAGTAGAATATAATTATGGTGATTAAGTTTAAGTTAATGGAATTTAAAAATGAGGTTGTTTATCATTATATCACTAACTAAGATCTTAGGCCTTAATCATGATTAAAAGCCAATTAATGACAATTAGTTCTCAATAATATTTGATGATGGTAAACTATAAATTGACTAACTTTGAAATTATTAGGACTTGTTAAAAACTCTCTTGGAATCCAAACTATACCCTTAAAGTAGTAATTTAAGAGTAAAGATAATCGAAAGTTTAATTATAATATATCATTGTGCTTACAACTATGAATTACACATTATTATTTCAGAGTCTATTGTGCAACTCTTTGACTTTAAATTAATGCATGGGTGAAGAAACATGCCTCTTTGTGATAAATGTCTAGTGATTATTTTTGCATGAATGTTATGTGATATGGGTATATGAAATGTTAAGCCTAATATGGTCATGAAACGAATATATTAATATGATAAGTGATTGTAATTAATGATGTCGGAAGAGTTGTGATAAACATGGGTATTTGTAAAAAATACTTGATAATTATGTTTATATAAATGATATGAATTGTAGATTTGAACTGGCTAAGTTGATTACACAACAAGCTATTATAAACTATGTTGTTGTGTGAATTGTAATATGTAAGTTTTGAAAATTATGATGATAATGAATTACTATGATAGGGGTGGCTTTTTTTTTATTTTATATTTTAGGAGCAGTCATTTCACATAAAAAATTAATATCAATCAAGAATCAAAAAATTGCAATGAAATTTCAGAATCTATTAACTTTTTATTGATATAAATATGCTGCAACGGTTTAGTTGATACCTATAAATATTGTTAAGTAGAATGAAGGGTAAAATTGTCTAATGAACATTCAGATAACTCAATAATTACAATTGATTTTCGAATGAAATTTATTATCAATTTCTCTAAATGGAGCTTCAAAAAATTGTGAGTGTTCCAATAATTTTTTTTTCAAAACCTTGATTTTGGATCTCATAGTTGATTATTACGGACTTTCCAAACAGGCTATTCAAGGTGATGCTTAGTTAATATGCCACAGGGCATAGGGCCTCTTTGCTTGCAGAAAAAGAAAAAGATAATTACATGCAAGTACAGGAAGGGATGCAAAAGAAATGTCTGACTCTGACATGATCATGTTTTCTTTTGTTTTTTTTTTTTTTGGGGGGGGGGGGGTTTGGTGGGGGCTCCGATATGATCATATCAGGAAAACTAGGAAAGTGCCAATCCAAACCTGAAAATGGTATAAACTAAAACCCACGGGAATAAACAAGAAATTATGTTTCGAAGCTACATAGCCCGCACAGTTTAAGAAATATCCATAAAAAAACTGACGTAACTCAATTTAAAAGAACGGAGAAAACTTTGCTGAGTAAATACAATTTATGGTTGACCTAGTTACAGAGCAGCACAAGAGGGAAAATTTTGCAAGTTGCAATTATGTATAAGTTACGAGGACTATGGAAGCATGAAAAATAACAAATCTATGAAGAAGAGAGAGTTTTGGTAGTGATGGCGGGTGGTGAATTTGTACCTGTAGAGTTATCTGTCCAATTCTTTTCGCCCCAGTGCCATAACATGCTCTCCCAGAAGCAGAAATCCTCAAAGCATGTTTTTAAACGCTTGTCTTTTATCTTAATTTTCCAGTGACCATCAGTATAGTTCCCTTTCTCTGCTTGTCTACGATCCCACTCTAATTGTGCCTTCTGCTTGGACCTCAGCAAACAGAACTTCTGCAACTTCTCTGGCATGGCATCATGCACCTTCCACCATGTCGCATGAGCCACATCACTGGCAAACTCCCGCAGAATGTCCACATTCCAGTTGCAGTCATAATCTCGGAAGCAAAGCCAGGGTTTATTACCCAGATAATGGAGGACATAAAGAATTGGAGGATCAGCTCCGAAGAGGCGAGTTTTCATCTCTTTTTTCTCCTCTTCATCACCTTCCCAGAAGTGCTTCAAAAAGTTCATGCGTTTTGGAATCCGATGCCACCATGTGAATATTTCATTCAGATACCCCTGGTCCCCCCCATTGTAGGAGACAATCTCATTAATGTGATCCATTAGCAACTGAAACGTACAATGTGATGGTTCAATTACCATTACTCCTGAGTTGAAAAGGGTGGCATTATTTCCTATGGCTGATATCTCAGGCATCTCAAAGAGGAAATCGATATTTCTCAGTATAAGCAGGTCAGCATCTATGAAAATAATTTTGTCATACTCAGTTAGCTGCCAAAGGCGGAATTTGCTATAATTCCACTCATTATATGCCTCTGGCTCAGCTTTCGGGTTCCTAATTCTTTTGATAGTATATATCTTCCATCCAGCAGCCTCCAGACCCCCCCTATGATAGTCACTAATTGTCTCATCTACTAAAATCACAAGATCTCTTGTTGAACCAGCCATGCGAATACTTTGAGCGGCAACAATAGCTCCACAAACATATAGATGTGCAGAATGCAGAATGGTTGCATAAGCTTCTCGGTGTGCTCTCTCCGAGTAGAAGTTTTCTATCAGAAAGTAAAATACGCTGTTAGTCTCCCATCAAAATATCAAGAAAATCTTGTAAAATTCAACTGAATAAAGTCCTTTTAAAAGCTATCCCGGCTGTCTTTTGTTCCAAAGGCACATCAAGATTTTACTTCATTAACACACTACATGAATTTAAAGATAAAAGATATCCTATATACCAGATGAATAGGTTCAATAAACAGAAATTCGTTGATTTCTCTCACATCAAGCATCAAATTTGTACAGAAAGTATAACTTGACCTTGGAAACATTGAAATCATACTGGCCCTTGGAACATGAAAGTTAATCCACTAACTCCAAATATGCATGCATAATGGTCCTATTTTAATTTTTATTCACTCGTAGAAAATGATCTAGTATACTTCCACCGTAAAATTTAACAGGTATTGCCAAAAAAATTTAAGATGAAATCTTTTTTTTTGGAGGAAAAAGAAAAAAGGAAGGGGGGGAACACAAGCAAAGTACAAAAGCACAAGAAACCAATTTAAAACAGACCTTTAGCCGTAAGAGGAACTGATAGTTCACACGATCCAACTGGCAGCTGCAGCTTAGCTCTCAGCATATGCAGGTTAGGTTCATAAAGCCATGCATTACCTTCACGTTGAATGAGCTCTTTGCAAGTAAAGAGATTTGGGGTAGGGAAGCAGTCAGTGACAAAAAGCACACGCACTGGATGATGCCCTTTGGAAGAGGCTGCAAGTCTTGCTGCCTCAAGCTGCAGGTGCAAACGAGCCACATCTCTTGACCATCTCCCTAACTTGTTACAGGGAAGCTTGACAGCAACAAGATCAAGCCTTGGTTTTCCAGGTACTTGAATTTTTGGCAGCGTAGGACAAACAGGAACCTCAAATTCTTCTTCTTCATCTATCCATTCAGGGTACAGGACTTCCCATGTAATGTTACTCGAGGCATAGTTCAGATGCAGAACTAGGTGCTCAGCTTCTGGTATTAGCTGTTTCCAGTGGTCAATTTCACTTTCATTGAAGTTTAATAAACCAACTCCCTGATATGTGTTCACATCTGTCAATTTTACAAGAACTTTTGATATTTGGCCCCATTCAACATTTAGAAGAGAAGCATAGCGTTGATCAGTAGTATCAAATTCTCTTTTCCATTTGTCAACAAAAGTTGGCCTGCAGCAGCAAAATTTTCCTCAACAACATAATAAAAGAAGCACATGAATATACATATAAATGTCTTTTTCCAAATTGAAAAGCATCAATTGCCATTGTAAACCATGAAGAGGATGAATTTTTTTTTTTTTTAAAAAAAAGAGGACTTAGTATTTGAGTCTTTAACTTAAAATAGTCAGGTAAAGTAAATGAATCATTATAAATTAATGATCCATATATACATCCAATAACTGAATAAAGTTTCAGACAAGAAGGAGTTGAGCATAATCCTCCAATCCAGAAAAATCCAGGATCAGCAAGAAAGCAAACCATAGAAGGAAACATCTAGAGCTTAAAATATATCAATGCAATGAAATGTCAAAGCACAGTTGGTGAAAAAAATACACATACCTCACCATGGAGTTTGACAGAGGATCGGTGTTATAAATTGCTGGAGGATGGAAAATTGTGACTAGAGTTCCTAATAGAATAATGACCACAACCAATTTCCAGGTAGGCTTGCAATTTATACTCCTATCCTGAAATGGAGCATGCAATGCCTTTTCAACATCTTTGAAGTATCTACTCTTTGAGATCTTCTCTTATTAGCATCTTCACTGCACCAAATCAGGAAAAATCAGTGTGTTTGTGCATGCAAGGGCGGGGGTAGGGAGGGGGGGCAGAGAGAGGGATATTCTGGGAAGCAACAAAGGGAACAGAAAATGTTAAACGGAAGAAAGAAAATAAAGCATTGAGAAAATGGTCCAATCTCACGCCATTATCAACACATGCAAAAAAGATTATAAGCATATGAGTTTGAAAAGGCTATTCACAAACAAATTGCAAATGAAATACGGAACTGATTCTCAAAGCATTCTAAATCCCTGCCTGCACCTACTCGTAAGCTGTCTTCCAGCCCCCTATGAATTTCAATAAACAATACCTATAACCTCTATCTGCTCTAACATAAAGTATAACATCACGATACATAAAAGAAAAAATACAGAGCAGGTGGCTCTTACCAGATGCAGACAGTTGAGTCAATTGACAAATGCTATATATTTTTACCCTAAGCCTTTTCTTTTATGATATTGTGCTTAACATCCCAATAATTGATTTTTAAGTAATCAAAATGATATATATAAAGTTAATTCCAACTTCCAATGATAATGATAAAACACAAAAAGCATGACGCAAGTATAAACAATAATTCTAGTTCTCATTTGGGCAAACCGAGTCATATTAGTGTGCAGTGGCCACAAAAAAGTAATTCTTTTACATTACAAACCAGAATTCTCCTCAGCAGCGCGTAATTCAACAAAAGTGTGCATTAATGCAAAAGAACTTTAGTCCACTAATGAATATTGAAGTCAGCAACTGAAGACCCATTTTAGAACTCATTATGTCATGCTTCTACGTTAAAAATTGAAGGAGGTGAATGGAGAGGAAATAGTTCCCTAGGTTTACACTTGAAAGAGAAGAGGAAAAAAAAAAAACAGAATGACTCTCTCTCTCTGTCTCTCTCTCTGTTTTTTTTTTGGGGGGGGGGGCCAGTAATTTGTTCCTGAACCCCAAATGAATCAGTTGAGAAGCAATTACAGGCCATATTGAAATTTTAAACTATTAATATGTCCCCTTCTCCTTATTTTGGTTCATGTAATAGACAGAGTATATAATATGACCTACAATTTTGTATAACGCTGAAAAATAGGGGAGCCGAGACGAAATATTTTGAGAACTGGTTCACATAAAAAGACATCTCGTATCAAAGGCCAGCCAACTATTTGAAATGCTATTAATGCAGCACCAGAACCGTAGACCCATAAACCGACATACAAATCACGGCTGTTTTCTTGCTTTCACTTTGTTATACAGGAAGACCCAGGAATTCAGAAAAAGCGGAATTAAAAAAATCAACGCAGTGGGGAAAGATATGTGACTAACTTAGCTGAGGACGACGGCCGGTGCCGAGGCTCTACGATGTTTGGGGAGGATCCTCTCATCTCTGTTTCAGCAGAAGCAGCGGTAAGGTGACATCTGAATTTGATCTACAAGACGAAAAACGGAATGCAAAATTAAAACCGACGTGAAATTAACAAGCAGAAAGTACTTCAATTTGGGTTGTCATTAAGATAAAGACCAGCAGAGAATATCGATAAGTACGTTCAAGACCAGTGATCCACACTGATTTACCGTTCAGAAGAAGTCAAAGTATCTTCGGAAGGCAGCAAAAGGAACTTGAAAATCAACTCGATGCAGTTGTTGTACAGGAGAAAGAAAAGAACCCTAAACTCCGATCAACAAGAATGGTGGTCGGTGAGAGCCGAGAAGACCGTAAAATTGCGAGCTAAAACGGAGCTGTAAGAATTGAGAAAACGGTCAGAAGAGTTGATTACATTTTGTTCCGCTCAGCCGCCTGCCGCCACCTAATTTAATACTCCCTCCCTTTCAAGTTATATAATATTTTTAAATAAAATCTGATAAATCAATAAATTTTATTAAATATATTTAATATTTTAATTTTTAAAAATAAAAATATAAATTTTTTAAAATATTTATCATTCATTATATTTAAAAGAGAAGTAATGAAAATTAATTATAAAATAATAATATTAAAATTAATATATTTAATAAAATAATTAATTAATTTAAAATATTTTATATTTTAAATAGGAAAACTCTTTTAAAAATATTTTATAATTTAAAAATGAAAAATTAAAATATAATAGATTTTTCTCCCATTAAATTATACTTTTATATATTCTAAAGATAGAGAAAATTTACTTCCTCTTCCAAATCTTTAACTGAGAAAAGAGTGATAAGCGTTAGGAAGTGCAAAACCGATCACCTCAAAATGCACCAATCATAGCAAGCTTTTCCCTGATATTTTTCTAAGCAAACGCAGTTCAGGTTTTTATTTTTAGTTGCAGCGAAATTTCATTTTAAAAAAATTGTAACGAAATTGATCTGTATATTTGTCGATATATGGTTGTTGAGAATAAATGAGTAGAGCATCAATTTTTAAATAAATTATTTGTTGTGAAATCAACGTACCATGAATAATGTTTTTCTTTCACGAGTTATGAGTCAAAGGGACTTGTCAATGATAATTGGGCAATGATAATGGGTCACGTAATTATCATTATCGGTTAAAATGAACGCTTAATTTTGGTGATAGAGCTCCAGGCAACCTACCCGATCTGTTAAACAATTATTAAGAAGATTCGTTAGGCTAGCAAGTGGCAAATGGATTAGCTGGCCAGTTTCGGGTGAAAAATTAATAATACCAATTAAAATACCAACAACAAAACCCCTGCGGTTGTTCTCTTCGCTAGATATTTCGGCTGGAGCCGCCGGTTCTCGATCTCATTTTGAGATCAAAGGAGCGAAAATAAGAATTTGGAAGAACATAATATCATTATTTATTAATTTGAAAAGTACGATTTTAATTAGGAATTGTTTTCGGGCCCCACGGCGGGTTTGGTTGTTTGATGACCTAGCATAAGCCCGGGTCGAAGGAACAATGGAACCAATTACAAAAACGTACAAAAAGGGGCAAAATTCAACAAGGGACTGCTCGACTAAATTTAATTTCACCCTAAAATTTTTAAAGGTATTAAAATAAAATTAAAGAGTTGACTAAAATATTTTATTGTTTTTAATAAAGTTAAGTACATAAATAACTCATGCAAGAAAATTAATAAATAATTTATAGAAAATAAATAATTAATATAAATAAAATTTACAACTCTCATTAATGTTATAATATCATTATGCATGTAAATAAGTAAAATTAAACATATAAATAACTCGTGTAAGAAAAATGAATAGCTAATAAAGGTGAAGTAAGGGTTGCAATTCATAGTAATATTATAATGATAATGAGAATTGCTACATCAATTATTAATTTTATATATATTAATTATTAATTTTCATATACGAGTTACTTTTGCATCTAGCTTCATAGGAGATAATAGAGTCATTTCAATTAACTCTTTAATTTCATTTTAATATTTCACAAGTACAGTAAAATTTAAAAACTTTAACTAAAATTAAATCAAATCATGGGTCCTCGTTGAAAATTTTGCAAAACTAAAAGCCCCAATGTCCCAACATGCCTTGCGTGCAAGTGGCAAATTTGGGGTCAGGTGCATTTGGATCGGGGGCGCGGCTGCATGTGCCTTCCCTCCCCTTCTTTAACATGCCACCCTTTTTTCAATTCGAAAAAAATTAAAATGATTTCAGTTGATTTCTCTAGAATAAAATAAAAGGAAAATTAAATCATTGCTATACTTTAGGGCGGGATTTTTTTAATTAAAAAAGAATACACTAATGATCTAATACTAGAAGTGAGATCAAACTCACGACTTTTCAGTTAAAGAAAAAATTACATACCATTAGATTATAAGATTATTTACAGAAGAGTTTTTTAAAAGAGAATACAATATGAATAAATGAATTGTCACCACGTTCATGTCTTAATGGAATCTCTAAATGAAATTGCTTATAACTATATGAAGTTTTTCTCACGTTATCTAATCAATCGTGATTTATTCACGCCTTTCGAATCTAATAGCTCGCGACACAAGCTCCTCTAAAAAAAATGAGTTGAAGTTAATTACATATGTGGCCTTGAGAATTGCAATGCATTGTCAAAATCTACAGGGTCTTGAAATCAATTATCTATCTTCTCAGGGCCTTATATTTGATTCTCCTTCTATTTCCTTTTCCTTGACTAAATCTGCTAATCTCTTTTGGTTCTGTTTTCTAACAAATTCCTACTCTCTTGGCCATGTCATTGTCTTCTTCATAGAGATGATATTTTCCAATGTAACATGTCGCTGTTCCATCCCACAGACCCATACCACGCACACCAACTATCAGTTATTTATTTATTTTTATTCTCTTATTTTTATATCATCTTAGTCTGTGATTACCTAAATATCGAGAATAAGTCCGCGCAATTTGTGAGTAGTATGAATTTTCATTTTTTTTATGAACTACGCACATTCGCATGGATAATTAAAATATTGTTATCTGTGATTATAAGGATTCTCCCCGTACTCGACAAAATAGGCACTTACCCTGTCATTTATTTGACCAAGTCAGAGAACCCCCTAAACTGAACTTTTTTCCTTGCAGCAATGCAGAATTGTCTTGCCTCATTTTTCAATTGAAAAATATTATGTTTACTTCCAAAATTTTGAATTAGGATATGGTGGGCAAATTCATTTTGTATTCCTGGGTCATAAAAGATTCACGGAGGACATTATAAAACCCGAACTTTAAGTCTCACAGAACTCACTCTGGCGTGAAGCGATGGAGGACAAGTACCGAACTTACTTGCATGGAGACGCAGAGAAGAACACCGAATGGAGATTCGGTGCCCCTCCTAATTATGACGTTGTCAACAAGCTCTTCGAAGAAGGCAGAACCAAGGTCTCCCCCCCACCCTCCACCTTCGGGCGCGTGTCAAGTTAGATCAAATTAATATACCAGCTAGCTGGGATTAGGAACAGTGAGTCTGTTGATTTCAATCTCATGTATTATGCTTTTTCTGAAAGGTATGGCCTCCGGGTTCGCTGGAGGAGAAGGTGCAGACTCTCCTGAAGAACTGGGAAATGGAACTTTTCCACAAGGCAGATCTCCGCCAGTTCAGATCAGTGGACCCTGAGAAATATACTTTCAGCCTGAACGGTAACATGGCATAAGTACTAACAAAAATCAGCATGGTTCTATGACTGTAAACTCGAGGATTTTAATTCAATATATATGTTGTGAAGCAAGCTTATTTTTGACTAATCATCATTCACAGGAAGGAAGCCTATAAATTTCGAAGAAATAATCAAGCTTGGAGGAGGGTATAACCCGCTGCTGCAGACCTCCCTGCCGGACAGATTCAAGTTATACGATCCCGATGTAGAAACGGCAGAGTCATCGCACAAGGCTTTTACAACAACCTTCCCACGAGGGTTCGCTCTGGAGATTGTCCGAGCGTATTGTGGACCACCTGTGATTGTTTTCAAGTTCAGGCACTGGGGTTACATGGAGGGTCCTTTCAAGGGCCATGCCCCAACTGGGGAAAAGATTGAATTATATGGAATAGGCATTTTCACGGTAAATATCTTTACCCCGAGCTAGAAAACAAAGTCACTGTATGTTTCTTCTATTCCACTGACTTCTCTATGTGGTTTCAGTTGGACGAGGATGAGAAGGTAATGAAGGTGGAGTTCTTTTACGATCCTGCCGAACTGCTTGGACCTCTCTCGAAGGGCCCTGTCTCTGATGCCTCTGATGAAGATGCCGTTTCGAGCTGTCCTATCATGAGGAGCACGGGGTAGAGCCCCCACAAGTATCTACTCAAACCTAAGTATATTATCGTTGGTCAAAAAAGACTTGAATAAATTATCTGAGTGCTTTAATCAGTTCAACGTTGTATGGTGATTTATGACTTTCATCTCCCTCGCGCCGTCCCATATAAAAAATATATATTTGTATGATTAGCTTAAGAACCTTTTCGACATTTAACGTAAAGGAAGTAGGAGCTGATAAGTGCAACTGATCGTTCGCTCTTAGGTTCGGAAGCAACAGGCCTTTGTCTTCGAACCTAACGAAACAGAAATAGGGCTTTTTTTCCCAAAAAAAATAAAAAACCAAAATTCAGGGTTAGCTTCACATGAAATCGTCTAGAAATACCAGTCTTGCTTCGAAGAGCCTTCAGAGAGCATCTCCATATAATCTTATTGCTTAGTCAATAGACAACCAGGAACGGAACCACGGATTTTTTATTGCTTAGTCAATGGACAACCAGCGAATTGCATTTCTAGTTTTTGAGTCAGTCAACTGGTTTAGACTACAAATAATATAATCTCCTACCTAAAGATGATAATCGGGCTATCTTGTTCTTCATAACGATTTCTATCTACGTGGCTTATAGGAAAGAATTATGCATGCACCTACGAAAATCTAATTTGTTAGGAGTAAGTGGCCGGCTTATATTGATTTTTCACATATACTAACACGACAGGGTAAAATTAGACTATTGTCCTCTGCACAGAACGAAAGGAAAATAGGAATGAGAAAAAAATGGTGTAAAGGTCTTTATTAAAATTCTCCCAACCTAATAAGTCAAACAGAAACCAGATATTGCTGAAGGATTACTGCAAAATCATCGCCAACGTTATATTGCTTTGGTATCATTCATTACAAGTAAAATAAATGCGTCCTTATTTGCATGCCATAAGAAGTTCAGGAGAAAACACATCGCACCGTCTGCAGATTCGCAGAAGTCTAATTTAAAACAGACAATTACATGGGCTGTTTCTATGCTCTTTGTTCAACATATGATCCTGCAAGTCCAGAAGTTCCAAGAACAGAAACCTGCAATCAAAACCCAGAATTAGACAGATAATTGGAATATGCAATCATTCGTAATACAGAAGACTGATCACATACATCCATTAAAAGATAAATCAAGGACCGAAGAGATGATGATGACCAATCGACAGTACACCCCTAAATGTACCATAAGATCCAGCTAAACGTATTTCAAGGAAAAAGAAGAATTATCAATCTTGCAACAGTGCCCCACTAAATTAGAAACGTCACAAGACATATTAGTGGTGAGTGCGATAATGTACAGGCAGCGGGAAAGAAATGAACATACCTTCCCCCACTCAGAACCTAAGCCACTGCACCTCATTTTCAAGTGTATCATCTTTGTGCCCAGTTCTGTCTCTACCTTCTTCCGCAGGTAGCTTTCATCCAGCCCAAATGAACTCAAGTAAGTGGTGTAACGATCAAAAACAGTTCGAAGTGCATTCTTTATATGATCAGGTGTGGGCTTTGCATCCTAAAACAATTATTAAAATTTCAGACGTAATTACCAGGGGAGAACAGGAAGTTTATGCAATTATGTGTAACATTGCAGGAAAATGTACATTTACATGCCTCGCCACTTAACCCAATGCTGTCATCAATTTCCATTTTTAAGGTCACTAGAATCCCACTAAACTCTTCAACGGCTTCTGCAGCACGGAAAACATTTTCCACTATATCCTTGCCAGCTTTGTCATCAGTATTTCCAGTTAGTGCTGTCTTCACATCATAAATGACAGCATGTGGGAGCTCATCCCAATTTACTGCCATCAAATCCTTGAAAGCATTTTGCAGCTTAGGGTCTTTGATTTCAGGCAAGTGGGTTACATGTTCACTATAAAACCGCACACTTCCTAAGCCTGTTGAGAGAGAAGACCTGCATTCTGCAGATGTTTTCACAGATATCCAAATCAGAATATAGTAGCAACCTCTAAGTTTACCAAGAAATCTACGAGTCACATGCATGCAGATGCCAGGTTTTGTAGCTATGATTTCACTCCCTGACACCTTTCCTAACTGAAAGAACTTCAAAAAATAATTTATGACGTGTATTCTCTTTCTCTTTCACGAATCATCCAATAACACAAAAACGATAATGTGCTTTCTTCAGTACAGCTGCAAAAGCAAGCTCATTAGCTTTAAGAATAGGTAAAATTTCCGGCTAAAAGACTGCAAGTTATAATTTTTAGGGGGGACAATTCCACCAAAAAGTTGCAGAAAGAAACTATTGACAGATTGCTTCATATAGTAGTATCATCAGATTAAAAACCCAGAAATTCAAAATAGAATTCCTACTTCATTAGAAAAAGGAAGAACACAAACTTCTTTCTGCGTATAAGAAATTTGAACAGTCGTTTGCTCTCTCATCTCGTTCTTCAAATATAATCTTATATCAAAAGCTTCAATTCTGGAATTATATGTATTCTGGAATTATATGACAAAGTCATGTAAACAAAGAAGCCATCCTACTTATGGTAAGATGTATAACTGCATGACATGAATGTGTGAGAAAACTATAAATATTATTCTAGAAAAAAACATATAATGTCAATTTTAAGATGTTATTCGTTTGTAAACACCACGTTAGGATATTAAATAACCAATCAGATATCATCACAGTGTAAAGGAAGTCAGAATCATTTTATCAAATGGAAAAGAGCTTTTCGAATCCCGCCTGCAGTGAAAAATGTAATTTTGTGGGCGAATTTCATCTTCAATAATTTCTTTCTAGAAAGAGGAACACCGTCCAACTAGAAGAGTCGATTGTAATCCAAGACAACAATTCATTTCAGCAAGAGTTGTTGAATATCACAAAAGAAACGGAAAAAGCTGCACAGAAATCAAAATACTGAACGATGAAGAGAGTACCTGTTGGGAGACGATCGGCAGAAGGAGAGACATGAAAGGGCGATGGGCTAAAAAGAGTGCGAACGGCCAAATAGTCGCGGTGGCGAGTATGGATGGTGCGAAGGATTTGATTATTGTTGGCGGAGAAGCGATAAGATCTGGAAGATAGTGATCGGAAAATTGATCTAAGAGCCACCCCTTTCTCCATCTTTCTCTCCCCCTCGCAGTAGCAGCCACACGGAACTGAGACGGTCGATGGCGACCTGGAAACCGAGCAGAGTCCTGTTCGCTCTTTTTCTATGACCGGAGAAGTAGTAAATTGCTAATCGCTCCCGCTTACATTGTAGTTATTTTTATAACTTCTTAAAACAGGAAAAAAATTTACATAATTAACTTTAAATTTTTTTCCAATAAAATTAAAACATATAGATATATATTATTTATTTTATAATAAATTTTTATTATTAATATTATTATCATTTTAATGTTAACTTGTTTTGATTTAATTAAATTAAAGTATATTGAATATATAAAACTTAATATCTACTTCTTTTTCAATTTAATATCATTTTTTTTTTGTGGACGATATTACAACTTGAAAAAAGATGAATATACCACAGTTCCAAAAACAAAACAGATGTTAAAAGGAAAAAATTTTATATATTTTTGTTTTTAGTAAACATAACTTTCTAAATTTAGAATAAACTAATTTTAAGGTCATAGTATACTTTTAGCAATTTAATTTTATATAAAATTTTCATTTAATTATTTAATTTTTTAAAAAATATATTTTTAGTCTTCTAACCTATTAGTTTTAAGTGATTATTTTTTATACTTATTACAGTTATTTAAAAAAATTAAATTTAATGTGTCAATATTAGAGAATACATCTCTCATTATTTAAAAGTTTAATTTATATTTTTTTAATGAAATTAATGGCATTAGGATTAAAAAATTAAAAAAATATTTTATAAAATTAAAAAATTAAAATAAAATATTATATAAAATTATAAGACTGAAATTATACTTTAATATAATTTTATAATAATTAATGTATCATATAAAAATATTTTTTCGTAAAATGCAAAGAGTAACCTTCTTGAACGGTAAAGACGAAGGTCTGGTCAACACTTCCTAACTAGATCCATGTGTGCTTCCAGTGGTTGGTCCACATCCTCATGCTTCCTTTTTTGGGCCATGTTCCATATCTCCTCCATTTCCCAGCCACGCTGCACATTCAACAATTAAGCAGCAGTTTTGAAATTTAATAACTCAACGAAGCTTGGACGACTTTGTTCACAAAGTAAACCCTTGTAGTGTTTTATTTTGAACTTTTAATCCCTCCCGTCCACCCAAAAAACAAAAAAACAAAAAACAAAACAAAACAATTAATGCTAGATGATGGGATTCTATGAGTCATCTATGCATATTGTCACAGTCTGTGATTCTTCAAGAGATTTAAATGGTCTAGAAAGCTCTAGAATCCTCCAACAAACTCCTGATTAATCTTGAGAAGGTTAGAGCATCCAAAAATATTTTAAAAAAATCTACCCAACTCTAACATGAATATTTTAATATAAAGTTTAAAAAATTTCACATAAATATTTAAATATTTATTGTAAAATATCTGACAAAGAATTTCAATTAATCAATTATAATCGTATAATTGATTTAATCTTCACCGCCAATTAAAAAGATGGAAACTTTTTAAATTCAAAAGAAAGCCTATAAATATCATATCCATCCTCATTTTTATTCATCATTGAGTTTCAAAAAAAAAAAATCAAGTCTCACACTCCCACAATTTCAACCATCCTTTGCTTTCAAGATTTTCATTCTTCAACTTAACCAAACATCCACTTCTCAATAAATCAAACTTACATAACATCTTTCAATGAAGAGTATTTAAATGCCGTAGGAGTCAAAGGACTAATCCCGTGACAATATGCTCAAAATAACTTGGCAGTCCTTAAAAAACGTTTTGAGACCAAAAAGCAAGAATTATCAACATACTTCGCAAAAAGGGGATAAGAGAGGGGGGTGGGACCAACATAATATCCCCTAAAGACAAATTGAAACTTGGAAGGACACACGAAATGAATAAACGACTGCCCGGCATGATCAGCAAGTTATTTGGATGGTCCTAACTCTAAAATACAACGGTATCTAGCATCATTCCCAAAGTCTGAACAATGTTAGAAGACATCAAATTGGAAACGTGCTCTTCAAGGTGCTTCTTAGCATCTTGCCTTCCCACGTTGGCTATTGCAAGCTTTTCTGGCGAAAGCTCATCCTCTTCTTGCACTGCCTTGTTGTACTTGACGGCTAGATTCAGCATCTCCTGCATTACCCAAAAACATGAAAAAGGGTCATTAACAATGAGTAATAAAAAATTACACCCCATCTTTCAACTAACATTAAAAAATTTCAATAAGTGAAAAATTACACAGCCCTCTGACCTTATGTTCATCAATTGCCAGAGATGAAGATGATAAAAGTCAACAGGTAACATAACAGAGAGCAAATAAGTGCATGATTCCAAATGATCCTATAACCGTATTAGGAGAATCTCTGGTTATGATCAAGACTATGTACGTCTTAGTGTAGACTCAAGCATGCACTCATTGAAAATGAGAAAAAGTAAAAGAAACGAGGAAAAGGACCGAAGCAGGGAGAAGTAAAAAAAGGATCAGAAAGAAAACGACACATTTATCTCTGCAACCAATTTTAAACAAATCTTAGCTTACCTGGACAGTCTGTTCATTAGTTTTGGAATGTGAGTCAAAACGCCTCAGTGTCAAACCATCAGTCCATTTCTTCTTGTGAAGGTTAAGTAGCATCTTCTCTTCAAGCTCATTTTTCCTGTAATTGATTGCTATGGAATAATAATGCCGGTTCAAGCCATGGATCAAAGCCTAGAAAGGGGAGCAATAAGTCATTAGAGACTCAAAAATTAACAAGTGCAGAAGAGGGCCCAAAAAACAAAAATAAAATAGTGCAGAAGTGCTGCTATGGAAGAGTGTTTGCAAAAAACTCACTTGTATAGATGGCTTATTAAGATGACCAAGGTTAGAAGTTGTTTGCCGTGGTTCCTGGCCCAGCATCATAGTCTGTGGATTGATAAGCCTAAAAGCATCAATCACCACCTTGCCTTTAACACTCTGAATAGGATCAACCACCACAGCCACAGCTCGTTGATTTAAAGCCTCAAAACTCTGAATTAGATAAAGCAAGAAAGTAGATTGTGCATGAGTTTCTGAAAACAGCAGTGCTATACTGAGAGTTTTCATCTCTCAGTTTGCTTAGCACGTCAATTGTCCCCAACAAATATTTTCGTCTCTCATTCTTGTCACTTATTTATAATTATAACATTCTTCGTCAACCGTAGTTATATAAGTTGCTTTAAAATTCAAATATAACAATTCATTCTATTACTCAAGAGTTGTCTGAAGAATACTATGAAAAAGAAGACGTAACCTGTTGTGTATTTATGTCCACTCCAGAAAGCCAACAACCAAATCCAGGATGGGAATGATACCAACCCACAACCATCTCTGGCCTGCAACAAGTGTCAGTTTAATTCCATTGATGCAACTAGACTTGCATTTAGTGCAATACAAGTACAGAACAAGGGGAAAAAGTGAGTGTTCACTTATAAATGTTGCAACTTTAATGGCTGGGTTTAGAAATAAAGGCCAGGATTCGATAAGTTGTAGTGACCATCTTTCTGTCCTAATTCTTCAATGTTAAGGATAATAATGAGCACAAAGTTATGAAGGGAAAGCATGAGAAAATTTTTAACAAGGAAAAGGAGACTGAAACAGAAGGAATGTTTAAAAATAATTCAGGGCAGATAGCAAGCAATGGTCTTTGCCAAAAATTCCCGAAACAAAAATGCAGCGCCAAAAAGTCGCAGCAACAGATTCAAAATCTCGTAAATGAACATAAGTATTTCAGGTTCAGCAAATCAAAGGGAAACAAAAATACCTTCCAGTCTGTTTCAGCATATCGAGCATGTTAGTCTGAAAAACATGATCCACAGCTTCAACACTAACACCGGTACCACTCTGTGGCATCGCAAAGACATCTACGACGCGGACAGTGTACTCATCCACAAACTCTCCCAACATCAAGCCCATCACTTCCATGGGAACACCAGCCCTACCTGTAATTTTCATTGCAGCCATAATTATTAGGGATAACAACAGTGCGCAGATGGATTTAGAAGACCATAAAGACAGGAATTAAATAAAAGCAATCGATCACTGCGCTCCCATTTTAGGGTTTCAAATCGGTAACATATAGTAAAAAAAAAAAAAATACACAAAACAAAAAACCCGGACGCTTGACTGGAATTTAAAAAAGAAAGAAAGAAACTAACCGAAGCTAAAATCCTCAAATTCATCTGTGTCCGGCTACTATCAATGGGAATCAAAGAACGAAATAAGTCAAGAAGAGCATACCGTGCTTAAGCATTTTGAGAAGGGCCAACGAGGAGATATAAACCTGCTCAGCTGAATCAAGGGTGGGCGAATCAGGGGGCGGATGCCCCAAGGCGCCTCCTGCACCTGCGAACATCCTTTGAAGCCTCTCCATGCCTGACAGTCTCTTGCCTTCTGGCTGGCTGATAGGGTAACAAAGCAATGGCTTTTCTTTCGGAGCAAGATTTCTCCGAAGACGTCAGGGGGAGTAAATCACTGTAAACAGTAGTCATTAATTACTTATTCGGTCAAACTTGAAGCATCTTGTCCCTTTAAAAAAACTACATATAATCAAGCCCAATGTTTCAACTTCACTCCAATTACCAACTCCAGCAAAAAACTTCGCTTCACACATGGTTTTTTTTTTTTTTAACAGACAGACATAGATAGGGGGGTTGTTTCTTTTGTGAGAAAAAGGGCAAGGGCAGCTCATTAAACTATTCGGGCTTACGAATGTGGAGGAATTCGTAAGCCCAGAATGTAAAGATTAATGGTTTTTGTTTCATGCGTCACCGTAATGACTAGTGACTAGGACTAACTGTACCCAAAAAAACACCTGTCCCATTAACTGTCACATCAGATTTTTTTTTTTGTTTTTCCTTAGATTTAGATCATGACCCCACTTTTGGTAATTATGTTTTCAATATTTGATAGTGTAAGAATATGTCTTTTTAGCCTCATGTGTGCAAGACAAGAATAAAATATTAAATCATTTGTGAGTTATTATGAGAAATTTTTAAATAAATTCAGTGTACCACGTTATTTATTGCTATTCAATAAAAATATGATTTTCAAATCAAATGACATTAAGTATAAATTAAAAAAAGAAAAAAATAAATGGGCCTTTTATTATAAAAATAAGAAAATAGCATATAAGATTTTATTTGATTGATTTGGTGTAATTTTATTAGATGAGCCATTGATGACATAAAGCATCGGGTCTGTATAAAATTTTTTCATTGTTAGAATGGAACCAGTTTAAAGGCAAATAAATTATAGGAATCAAGGTAAAAATAAGAACACTTAGTTGGTCAAGAATATTGATTGTGTAGTTAGTTGGAACAAATTTATATTTTATCATTTACTTACTTTAGGAAAAACGTGATGAGATTAGGACACTCATATCTCATATTTCATTTCAAAAATTGATCAGATTAATTTTTTGATTAGTATTTTATCTTGTTAGAAATTGAGGCAAAATCGAGATAAGATCAAAATATCTTGATAAAATGAACATGGGAAAGAGGTCCAGACATTAATGTTCATTGAAATATTATGGACATCCAAAATGCCACTTTAACTAATCAACCAAGATTATAGGAATTACCATAGTTGCCGTAATTTAATAATCCGGGTGAAGTGGGTCTAGCATCTAGATAAAGAAAAGTTTACAGGATAAGTTGGATGACGTGGCAGGAAAAAAGGAAAAGTGATTCATCATAGGATAAATCAAAATATAGGTGTTGGGAGAAAAGTATTCCCATTCTTTTCTGTCCAATTTCTTCCACTTTTTTTATTCCTATCATTTATTAATTTTATTATTTAAAAAATTATTTAATAAAATAATTTAAATGATAGGAATGAAGAAAGTGGAGGGAAAAAAAATGAAGAGACCCTCTGCTTGAAGGTGTCCGGGTGTTTTTTTTTTTTTTTTTAACTTTTACCCAAACCATGCTTCGATAATTGATTATACATGCAAATGCAAACAGGAAATTAAGCTTCTGTGTATCAATTATATCTGGTGAGGCATCAACCGCCGATCAAAAATTTCAACCTACCATATATATACCCTTCTCTTCACTATGCATCTAGCTCGTGAATATGCATATGGGTCTGTAGTATATGTTGATCTGTTTAACAAATATACTCCCTCTGTTTAAAAATTAAAATATTTTTAATTAAATTTTATTTTTAATAAAGTAGCTACTTACTTTTAAATTAATCATATCTTTCTATATTCACCCCTATTAAATACCATATAATAAATATAAAATTATTATTAATAGGAACACTTTTGAAAAAAAAAGGTAATAATTACATTTCAAAAAACTAAAAATACCTTATATTTTTTAACATCTAACTCATCAAAAAAATATTTTATATTTTTTAACAGAGAGAGTAGTACTTTTAAATTATTAATAATACAATACAATATAATTAAAATTTATATAGTTAAACAGTGTGTATGTATCTGTTAAATAATTACATAAAATATTAAATGGATAATTATTATATTGAATATAGTTGTTGAATAGATAAAAAATAAATTATATTATATACAATTTTATCGATGTTTACAATATAAAACTCATGTCTTTATGATAATTTATACATATAAATTAAAGTTGAGTTTGATTAATCATTCAAATATATTTAATTCTATCAAAATTAATTTCAGAAAAACAATATATCCAAATATAATCACATTATAACACAACTAATTATAATAAAAGTCAATCATATTAATTAATTTTTTATAATTAATTATATCTAATTGAAATTTAAACATTCCCAACCATCTTCTAGAAAACAAAATTATGATCTCAGCTTGAAGTATTCTGTTTAAAGTCAATCAAGTGTACATGTCAGCTACTGCGAGTGTGAACAAAGTAAATTAAAAAAAATATGTACACACTAAACATAAATAAAAAAACCATGACATGACATATATTCATTCTATTAAAAAACATAGGGTATTTTTTGAGGGGTTGAATGTTAAAAAATATAAGACATTTTAATGTTTCAAGGTACAATCATTGTATTTTTTTCAAAAATGCCCCTGTAATGAATAAATTATTTTAGATTTATTTTAAAGTATAATGCCCTATTAAATAGGAATAAATAAGAAAAAATGGAATTAATTTGAAAATAAGAAACTATTTTATTGAGGTAAATTTGATTAAAAATATTTTATATTTTTTAATGAAAGAGTATTTCCTTGGGACCATAATATAAGTTATGATCAATTACTTCACAATGTATGAATAATATTAGTTGAAATCTTAAATTATAAAAAATATTCACATCTTTTTATTTATACTTTCATTAAATACCTTATATAAGAGCCATAATAATCATAATTAAATTTTTAATGCATGACTTTTTTTAAAAGAGTAATAAATGAAGTATGGATATAGTTAAAAAAATAAATATAAAAGGTATCCAATGCCCTATATTTTGGATTAGGTATGGTTTTGGGAAGATGTCGTATGAAATAATTAACACACACACACACATAATATGGAAGATCCATCTTGAAGATTGCGTTGAGTCTCATCTCGTCCTGAATTCTTTCTTGTCACATTTCGCAAAATCCCATCTTGCTTTTTTTTCTCAACTGGAAAAGACCCATCCTAATATAACTTGGACAGAGCCAAGACAATTAGAACAAGTACAAGGTTGAACACTCCTAATTATTAGGAAGCTCATTTTTACCGTGAACAAAGCAAACATCGTCTGTAGTTGTTTATTGATGTATGATCATTGATTTTTTTTTAAAAAATGACAATAAAATTACTCTAAAATATATAAATGATAATTTAATCCGTTAAAAATGCCATAATTTCCTTGAAGCCCCTAGAGATTTGTTTGTTATTAATGAATTTACATATATTATCAAATTACCCTTGTTGAAAATAAATAATTAACAACCTTTCTTCTTATATTCACAACTTTATTTCTTATATTTGTAACAATACGAATTTAACATGTAAAGTTGTAATTTATTGTTGTATTATTGTAAATATAAAAAAATAAGTTGTGAATATAAGAAGAAAAGTTGTAAATTATTTATTTTCAATAAGGGCAATTTGATAATTTAAATAACTTCATTAATGATAGAAAAATTTGCAGAAACTTCAGAAAACTTATAGCATTTCGATGGATCAAATTGTCATTTATATATTTTAGAGGAATTTTATTATCATCTTCCCTTGTTTTTTTTTCACTTAATTTACTTTTCGAACTTTGCGTTGCTTAAAAAAAAACTATATATGCCAATTTCTACAGAGTTACATAAAACTTGAGGCGAATTATATTGATTAATTTTGACTTAACTACTACATGGCTTTCTATATATTTTAGATTACACTATCTATGCGTATTAGATTCATTTAAATTTCTATACAAATGTACATAAAGGTTTTTTATTTTGGCACAACATCTATAAAGATAAGACCCGCGATTATACACGTACTTGGTTGATAACTTGATATTGACTTTTAACAACTATTATTAATATTAATAATAAAATTAATTTTCATACAAGTTGTAGTATTTATGACTCGGATGGGTTTCCCTACTCATCCTTGGGACTGGACCATCTAATTTTTAATTTAGATAGTCTAAATTTAAAGTATCATTATATATTTTTATATTATATTTCTTAAAGTAAAAAATTATAAAAACTATAAAATAATTTTATATTTTTTATGTAATCTGGTCTAAATTTAAGCTAGGGAGTCTAGATCTTTTTTTATCTAAATTGTATAAAATAAATCTGAATAATCAATAAACATCAATTATAACAATTTTAATATTAAATTAAATCTTTTAAATTAAATTTAGATCAGATTAAGAATAAAAAATTTATTAAAATTACTTTATAATTTTTTAATAAATATAATAAAAATATTTTAAATATAAATAATTTAGATTAAAATCTGAACTACCTAAATTAAAATTTAGATGGTCCAACTCTCATTCCAACCTTAGAATGAGCAGGAAAACCATCTCATTTATGACCTATGGTCGCTTCCTTCCAATATTTATTATTCACAGGGTCAATATTGCAACTTATATTGAGATTCGTGCCTGATCTAATTAGTATTTATTTCCACTGTTATCATAATTTATATCCCCTCTTTTCGTTTTTTTTTTTGGAATTTGGGATTTCTAGTTAAAAACGTATTCAAGCCAATACGTTACTTTCTTTGTAAACACTCAAACGTAATTTCCATTGCCAGGGGGAAAATCTAGTAGTGTGAGACATGCATTGATATAGATGTAGATATATATATATATATATATAGTGGCAAGGGTCTCTCCACTTTTTCCCCTCCCTTTCCCTCCACTTCCCCCATCCCCACCATTCAAATTTTTTTATTAAACAATTTTTAAATGATAAAATTAATGAATGGTGAGGATGGGAGAAGTGGAGGGAAATGGAGAAAAAGGAAGTGGTGAGACCCCACTTCCTATATATATATTGCTTAAGCTCTTTATCCGATACAAGGAAAT